TCCCCACCGCCACTCATCAGACCCGCGGCGCTCGCTGCAATATTGCTTGCTGTTCCTGTAATTATCCTTGTTTCCTAAACTCTGCGCGTTTGTGCCGCTTGGTGGCTTCTCCCTTCCCTACGACCCCATTTTCAGCTTGCTCACTCCTTCCTGACATTTGCTTGCTTCACGCGGTATTTTGCTCGCTCGCCCTCGTTACGTTTTCTTACTTTTAGTTGTAGCTTGCGCTCTCCCCATTTCGGTTTTGCGTGATTGCAGTTTATGCCTATTGAGGCTTCGCTTGCTCTCTGCTGATTTGCTCGCTCTGTTCATTTGTTCGCTCTCTTCTGCTTTACTTGCTCTTCACTGTCGCGCCCCCTGGATTGAAATGGCTCCTCTTTCTCGTGGTATTTGCCACACTTTCACTCCTTCGCTGTGGACGGGGGGACGACAATAAAAGGGGTGGAGGTTTAGGGGGTGGGGGTGGTGGAAGGGTCGAGGGCGACGTCGGCAATAGGGTCCCCTCAGTTTACCTTGGGTCCGACATGTGCCACGTCGCGCGCCGGCGTAGCGGGGACAGACGGGCGGACCGCAGCGGACCACAGCGGAGCACCACCACCGCGTGACCTGATTCGCTATGAAGCTCTGCTCCGCTCAACTTTTCGGTGCTCACGCGCGTCAACTTTTGCGCAAGCAAGCAGCCCGCGACGTTCTGAGGGGCGCGCGCCGGGGCGTGGGGGAGCCGTGTCGTTCGTCCTTTTTTACCATCTTTTGTCATAACCGACTTTTTCGTTATTTTTTCCGCGCGTCTCTCTCTCCCTCTCTCTTTCTCTCTCCCTCCCTCTCTTCCCTCTCTGTTCCACCGCCTTTTGGGAAATTGTTTCCGTTTTGAAGTAAAATGTTATCGTAGATGTCATCATTGGAAAAGTCAAATCAGAATAATAGTTTTTAACAGTTTTCCTGTCTACCATGGCCCAGGGCGCACGTCAACGTTTTATTTGGGCGCAGGAGATGAAACTGAATAATTTATTGTACAATACATTATCCATTCGGTGTTCGAGATTTCGTGTGCCGTGGAGCTGCCGCCCTTCTTTGGTTATTACCCTGTGCACTGTGGCGGCGAGAGAGGGATAAAAATACTGTCCCAAGAATGACAGCCGGAGCAATACAATAATTTTGTAGCGTTCAATAGAGACGGAAACACACAGACTTCAGGAGTTTTCCAGCATTCATATATTGCTCTGAAAACTCAACAGTGTATGGTATGATTGCTGATATATCAGCAGTCAGCAATAATCACGATTAGGTTTTTGGCAAGTTTTTCCTTCGAGATCGAC